CTGCTATGTAGATGAATTATGTGATTTATGTGAATAGTTTTATTTTATGTGTTGGAGTCTTTATAAATTTTTCATGTATCAGTGAAGAGATGTACTCATAAAATAGATTATTTTTATGGAATTAATATAGTATTCCTGTGAAATAAAGATTTGGATTTTATAGAGGCATTTTATGTCTCATTATTTTCAGAAAGAGCATATATAGGTGTCCCCTTTCTACATGCTATTTTTAATTCATATATTTATTATATTATTATTCATATTTCGTATGTGATTTGCTAAGATTGTTATCCTAAATCATTCATTCAAATTTTTGAATAAAGCCAAATCTCAAAATTCCCCCTCTTTGTCTAAATCTTATCTCATTTCATAAATTCAAATTGATACGGAATTAATAAAGAACTGAGAATTATTTTTATGTTATTGAAAGAGTGAGAACTGAAAAATAAATGTACTTCCTGTATCAAAATATAGGCTATTATATTTATACTCCTGGAATTGTACATTCCTTTCTTGAAATGAATTGCTCTTAAAATTTTGTGCTCAATTTATAACTCACGCCATGATAAGAAGGAAGCAATTATTGGATTTCATTTATTTCTTTGTTATCATCACTTATTTATAAATAACTAGACATTTGTAAATTATTTTACGATGAAAACGTAATTAAATAAAATATTATTTTGTGATATAAAATTCGCTTGAATCACTATTGGAAGTTTTCACCATTTTTTCATGTTCGATCGTAAGCTATGTATAGCATGCATGTAGTAAACAGTGTCCCGAATAAAAAGTAAATTTAAACCGTATGACGCATAAGATGCGTGCATCGAAAAGTGTCGTATTTTTATTGCATTTTGCGTAGTATCGCTAATGGAATTCTTTTGTAACGATACTCATAAACTGGTAATAAGCCGTAATTGGTTATAATTGGTAATTCAGTTAGACTGCGCTTCTACCAACTGCCTGTGGGTTGCTTCACTGAAAAGTTTGAGCTAATCTTGGTTTAACGCGTAAAATACACATAACAGAAAAATTTGTAACTTTTTATTATAGTATATTTCTGAATATTTCTAATATTTGTAAACACAAACGTTTTTATATAGTATGTCACATATACTATTCTAAAATATTCCTTTAGCTGCGTAATTTAAGAAAAATATCTTTATTTCTATGATAATTAATAACCTACAAATTTATTACATTATATTAAAAATATAATATATTAGAATATCATTCCAGAATACTATATTATAACTTGTGCACAATGGAATTTAAATTCCCCGTGATAGTAATAGAAATTGAAAATTTTAATACCACTTGAATTATTAATAAATATTCATTTATGCAGATTCAATAAAACAATTAAATATATGTATATTAATATCACAGGAAAAAATACTTCTATTAAAAATAATCTTTTAATTTGAACAATATAATTAATACAATATAATTGTAATTAAATAAATTGAATTAAAGAGTATAACCATAAAGATGTTAATAATTAATGTTGTAATTTTAATGATCTCACAAAGATATGTCATTTAAAAGGTAACGTGACAAATAAGTTTATAATATTGCAAATGAATGTCCAAAATAACCGGGAAATATACAATCTTATAAAAATCAAATGTTTTAAATATTATATTCTCATTTGTTAAATCTTTGCAAAATTTCAACATTTGTTCAATATTTATTAATTTTATTATTCAATTTAATTTTATTATTCACGTTGATATCGAAGATTATTGAGATACGTGTCATCATGAAATGCATTCAAGTTTTACTAAGTTTAGTTATAAGTCGTTGAACTCGCTTGATATCAGGTATAACGTCGTATCATAAAAGAACACATACTAATATGCAGAGAAATGTCGATAACCTTGGAATAACATTCATAGTGACTTTGTAAAACAGTTTTTGTAATCATCAGATGCTCGTTTTTAAATCATATTCACGTATAAAAATGTATAGGGTAGATCTAGTGAACGGAATTATCTAAATAATTAAAATTCATTATTTGACGCACGAAAAGACTCTTCACAACAAAAACATGCTACTTGCAGAAAAACGTGCAATTGTAGAAAAATATTTTTGAGATCATTTTTAAAAAGAATTAAAAATTACCAATATTTTTTTAAAAAGACTTTACATTTTTTTTCTTTATATTTTTATAGGATTTAAAAAACTGACAATTTCATAATTATATCAGTAGGGTTATGTACTCTCGAAATATATTTATTTGAAGTTCATTAATATTTTTTGAAGGCTTACCCTGTATATGTCTTAGCAGCTTTTTCTCATGTTCACATACCAGAGGAAATAGATTAGATATTTATTATATATGAGATGACAGCCTATAATTGCAACACGTGTGAATGTGAAAAATAATTATTAGTTCGCTATTCCTGGTTCAGTAAATGACACATTTCGCCAATTTTGTCTTTACCTAAATTACCGTAATTTAAAGTATATCAAAATATTTTATCTTAATTTTTTCATTGTAATTGGTAAAGTTAGATTCAAGGTATTTAATGCAACCGGTACTATACATATTTCTCAACGAGGTAACACGTACTTAAATTTAAGTTAATAATTTTTTCCTTCATTATTTCCTTAATTATTATATACATTACCTCACAAAACTAATAATACTACAATATAATAATAACATAGTGTTATTTATATTCAAGTACTCTTCCATTAAAAATTTTAAGACATAAGTTTAAGAAGAATAGATACTAAGGCTTTAATATCTATAAATTATAATTAATGTCAATTATGCTTGCTTTTAATACATTTATGTTTGCCAAAAATGCAGATTCCAATGAAACAGATTATAATGCTCTTATTAAGATTTATGTTAACGATTTACATTTGTGTTTTCTTTTCCATTTGGAAGCAGAGAAGGCGTTTGCATAATCATAAAATCCGACAAATAGAGAATTATACAAAGTATCAATATTATTACAGTATGCTTACGGGTCCGTTTTCTTTTATGGATATATTACATATTTTATAATATAATATAATACATTAATACGAATATACAACGTAAGAATAATGTTAGCTAAATAAATTACGGTAAAATGATTATATTATACTACAATAATTATACTAATCAGTATATTAATAATAAAATATAGCATTAAATAATCATATAGTATAATAACAAAATATATTGTAGTAATTATTATAGTATATTATACGACAGTTAGTGTTCTATTATAGTAATTACTTTAATAAAATTAATATCCAGAAATTAAGTTGTTTATTCGTAATTTAAATTAAAATCGAACTACACTAGATTATCAGACATAAAACACACATAAAGTAAAAAAAATATTATCTAAATTACCAAACAGATAAATAAAATAATATTTCAGAATTATTTTATCATAGCCTTATACTAATCGTTAAAAAAATACAAACAAATAGCGTTTAAATATACATGTATTAGTATTACATAAAAATACTCAGACGTTTATGAAAATATAAGAGTCTGATAATTAACAGAGCAGACTGCAGAATTACCATAAATTGTTTAAACATCCCACTTTAGTACAAAAAATCTTAAACATTTACTTATCAGAAATGTTGTAGAATAGAACACTTTTAAAAAAGATCATCAGCTAAGCAAAGTCCATACACAAGAAACATTATTCAATTTTATCACACGGCAGGAAACCTCAAATTGTGGTAACAAGAATAAAATTGGTTACATAAAATAAGGACTTTACATCTCTTAAATTGGAAAAATCCACTGCGTATTACCCAAAATAAAAATTAGTTTAATTCTGTTGAACACATTATGATACTCCTACTGCGCCTATACTCATATTATATTCTAAAAAAGGTATTAACATAACAGAAATCAATATCAATTCAAAAAGATATTTCAACCCCAGGATTATTTAAAAACAAACGTGAATTGAAAACATAAATTCGAAAATAAAAGAAAATTCGGACCTAAATACCCTGTAGTCCCTTCGAAATATAAATCCATTTATTTCAAACTACAGATTTAAATCTCACGAATCATCTTTAACAAATTCTTAAATCTAAACTCTTCTACTAACCAAAACGAAACAACCAAAACAAGAGGCCTTAACATTTTTTTACACTTTCCAAACCATGTTGCACAAATAACACTAGAAATGGTAGCTTCGGTTATAATTTCACTTGGAATACATGCTCCTCGATTTACATTGCAAACTCGTTCTCTAACGAACGAAACCGGAAAGTTAGATAACCCATAAAATCCGACGTGCCAACGACCCTCTATCCAACGTTGAACAAAAGGGGAATAGAGGGAGCGAGGGATGGAAGAACCTGTAACGAGCTCGACTGCATTATCACTAGGGGTACAATGGTATTTTCTTCTCGTCAGGGACGAAAAAAAGCGGGGGAAATAGGGGAAGAGGGAAAAAGAGCCAATGGATCGGGCATTAACGAGCCCCACTGCCTTGGCGAAAACCGATCCGGGTGGAATATTGGATTTTTAAACGGGACCTCCCGCCCGGACTGTGATTCCGCGTCGAGGTGATCCAATAAGCTTAAACGGATTTCGAGGTTGCTGTTGCATCGCGAATGTACGAAATATCGTGCGCCGTTCCATCGAACCGATATCTGTTCAGTGTCGCAGAACCGGTGTCGAGTCGACGAATATTTAAAAACAAAACAAAAAAATAGCTCTGGGTGGACCTGCTCATCGAAATATGGCGTCGAGATCCTCGTGTCTCTTCCCGTCATCTCGAACCGTCTCTCGCATAAACGAAGACTAATTACATAACGTTGTTTCCGTGATTGCACCTCGTTTATGATGTTTATTAACCCGGATGGTCTACCTGGTCGCGTTAGTGATTAGCTGTCCATCGCATAGCAAACGCAATTAGGACCTAGATCCTGTTGGCTACAGCTGATGATGAGTACCTTGGTGTGTCGTGAGAGACGCGGATCTCTAAGTGATCAAAGATGACAGTGAAAATACGTGTACTCACCGTGGTCTGGGGAATCGATTTGGTCTAAGACGAAAACTCCGGAGGTCGAAGCGAGTTATAATGGACACCCGAAAGCACGGCATCCGTCTGAGCTGACGAATCTGAGTCCTAGAGGCGCTCTGGCGAACGAGTCGTGTACTTCTTATTGGTAGGAGATAATGAAGACATGGCGGTATCGAATAAAAGTTTCCTGGCTGCTCAAGACGGCTCTAGAGGAGCAAGCTAATTTTCGGGTAATTTACAACCGATTCTCTGATACTACCAGTTGTTAGCTATTCGCTGATATCACGTGAGGCTGCTGATATCTTTATTTATTCGTTTGCTGTCGTAGATATTGTTATCGTGCCGGGACAGTCGTGGAACCGATAGATCTCGTGAGTGGCGTAGAATGTAATTAGATCGTAGATGACGGTAATCTTTGGACGAGAAAAATCGTTGGTATGCTGGCGGTGAGATGATCGCAGTGGCTAATGATCGAGTTGCATTGTTAACAGTGATGGACGGAAATGGTGATCGAGGCAGAGATCGTAAATTTCTGAATTTATTATGACCAGTCCGAAGTGTATAATAATTACTCACGACTATCGCTACTGGTGATTACCTTGTCGTGCTTGGACGCGAATAGTAGCAGAACTGGTGCGGTCGTTTAAAAATACGTTAATTATCATTGCAACAGTTTCTTCGTGAAATAAGTAGGAAGTGAATGTCCAGGTGTATAGCTGATGTATAAATTTAAAACGACCCAGATTGGTTAGCATATCATAAAGTTGAACAGTTTGGAGCAGACGGTGTTGCAGAGGAATTAAGGTCAGCTTTATGTGACTTCTTTTTAAGTAGAATTAAATGTGTATTTCATAAATCATTATACATATTTTTTGAATTTTTGATGCTGGAGTATGGAGGTAGCTGTACTTGAATTAGTTAGCTTGACAGATATTTTGAGGTTAATCTTGTATAGTAGTATTTCAGTTTACATTTCTCGGCTAACACTTGTACGTCTTTCTGGGTGTTAAAGCTAAGACTTGCAAAAGAAGAATCATAAGTTGAAGTTTATTATTTTCCCATGATGAAAACTGTATTTTCTTATAAATTTCAAAGGTATTCTGCTTTTTAATGAAGAAATGAAATTATCCTATTCGTTCTGTATGAAAAAACATAACATTTTCTGATTATTTTAGATATTATGAATAATTTTAGTTTATATAGTATATTATATAAAATTTCATTGTAATTTATAATCTACTTTCAATGGAAAATTGTCACTACTGCAAATACGCAGAAATTTGAAACGGGAGAATGATCTTCGTAATAACCTACTTTCAATGTAAATACATCCAATTGTAAATATGCAGTTATTTCGTGGTATCTCCTGGTGCAATCGCGTAACAATCATTAATACCACAGTTATATGCAAACGCAGATGTATGGATATTGTGTTGCTGACAAAGTAGCAATTAATAATTAACGTATTATCTCATTATGCGAATTAAACAATTTCTACAAAGGCTTACTAATCGTGTTATTAAAATTTTGAAAATTATTATTCTATACGCTTGAAGCATTTTCTGACATGCAAATATTAACAACTTTATTAAATAACCATATATAACAAATATGAATTAACTTTTAATTAAAAATTAACAAACGCGTGATCATAAATAATTTGTAATATTATCGAAAATATTTTCGTCAACGTGAAATTAGTTAAATCATTATTAAATAATATGCTAAAATTATCTTAAGTACTGTTTTATTTCATATGATATCACTTGGAATTAGAAATTATTTGTTTTTTAAAATCATATGTGCTACTTGTTACACTTCTTAATACCATTAACGTCAATAAAGATAATAAGATATACTATTACACGTACAGAGCAAACCTCCGTGTATAATAAACTGTTGACTGTAGAGAAAAGTAATCACACATTCAATGAAATTTCATTTGAGTGTTGTCTATTAAAGTAGTTTTTGAAGTATGTGTATACCATAGTTTGTCGTGAATGTAATATTTATACAAAATTAATTTTGGTAGGAAACTTTTACATTTAAATGCAAAAGTGCAAATTTCTTGGTAAATGCAATTGTATTAAATTTACAATTAAGCTGACTCATTTGAAAAGAAAAAAAAAATGCATGTTTAATACTCCCAAGGTAAAAAACCTGTTATCTCACTTTCATACATAGCGTTAAGTAAGATTATAGTATGTTTATATATGTCTAGTGAAATTTCCTTGATACCTTAAAAAATTTTTTTAAATATTCTGATATTTAATATTATTTAATTACAAATCAAAGTACTAACTTAATGCAATTTTATTTTTCTTAACACAGACAGAATGCAAAATTAAATTATTGTTCTCTGTAAATTAAGGAGAATAATAGAAGATAGGAATTCCCATATCTCTATATTTTATTTCTTATAAATTACATTTTATGTCTCCACTTTCATTGTATTTTGTTAATGTACCACTGTTTTAAATTAAAACCAAGCATTCTCATTATAGTAACAGCTCATTCTTAAATATAAAATTACCTTATAAAAAAATCAAAAATTTAATTGCAGAATATTACCGAATGAGTTATAAACGAATTAAGAAATTAATTATTTCGTCAAGCTATTCTATACTATGAATTAGGATACTAACTTCTATTCATCAAACAGTACTCCACCCCCATCGTAAAAGTTTTCCCAATAATTAATATTATTATAATATTACTAGCAATTAACATCAATTAGTAGTAACGATAAACATCATAAACGTTCTCATATAATTATCCTCGTCAAAGATTGTTCGTCTACTCCAAGACTTCCTATGTGCCCGAAATTGTGAAAACAACGATCACAATTAATGCTGTTATTCAATAAACGATTGCGGTATCGAGTCGACGACCCCACGAATATAGAAACACCAAATAAGAGGTCAACCGAGCGATTCTCTTCGCACTGACCCGCATTTCTCCACGATTGCCAACGAGTATATAATCGGTGAAATTGCAAAATCGCGGTTGAGGTACCGCACGTTGCCCACTAGCGCCATCCTCTAACGAGACTCATGATATCTCCCAACCAAACGATGCTCTTCGAAAAGAAACGGAAAAAGAAATAAAAGGAAACGTGAAAGAAAGGATAAAAAATGAAAGAGAAAGAAGATCCAGCGTCGTAGAAGTCCAGTTTCAGGATCGAGTTATCGGATGTTATTTATTCGGTCAGCACAGAGCAGTGGCTCTCGTTATCCGATTATGCAATTTACTTTACAAGCGTACGCGATACGTAGAACGAGCGTGCAATGGAAGAGGGACGTGCAGGGATATGCAAGTGGATAATGATGCCGGTGAATATATGGTTGGTTTATCAGTTATCCAGCGAGACGAGTGTCATCGCTACAGATAACCGACTTCCCTACCCGTGCCACGTCCTACGTCGATTGACTGCTCAGGATCTCTCGATACATTATCGTAATTGACGCCTCGACCATATGACTGATCCAGAAACTTTTTTACCAGCGGATCATCGCCGGTTTCCTCTCGCGGTGAACACGGTTTTAACCCAGACACAACCGATACAGGGGATAAGCATGTGCTAAGAATGCAAAACGAGCTGTAGGAATATAATCTTCTAGCGATGCTAGAGGCGACTTTTTGTTGCTTATTCCGTTACTAGCGGGATGCTTGTTATTAACGACGCGTTTCTTTCGTTTTACGATTTCTCTCTGTGTGGTTAAAGGCTTCCACAAATGGACGATTTGTCGCTCGGATCTATCGATCGACGAATCACTCGGTACCGTAACGATTCCGACGACGGCCGTGGTGGCGCTGCCTGTCAAACGGACACAGCTGATTCTTTTGGCTACTGACACGATTATTAAGGCTCAGATATAGAAGGAAATTGGTCAGGTTTATGGATGATCATGCTTCGATACTTGGGTAGTCCGATACGTGGACAAATTTATGGTTCACGGGAGTAGTTTTAGATTATAGTTATATCGTACCGAAGTAGCAGTATCAACAAGTTCGACAGGTTTTGTGGGTAATAAGAAATTAGGTCAGCAGTTGGCATTTTCTAAATTCGATTCATTTATATTCCTAGAAGATTGGTTCTGACGAACTTTAAACTAGTAATGCAGAACTGGTTGTTTAACGAGCTCAATCTTAAATAAACTTTCCAGAAGAGTGGCACAGAGGATGGAGAATGGTGAGAGACATAAAATGGAACGTACTGGGAATTTACGACAGTTAGGTGTAATTTGACTACATCACAATTTGTTACTTGGATAATTAAAACGAGGAGATTGTATTCTCATTCTGACGATTATTTTGACTTTTCAAGTTAAGTGCTTATGCTTGTTATTACGTTTGTGTGTTACGTTTATAGCTTAATTCGTCACTGCGTCTGAGGATTGTTCAAAGTTTCAAGTAGACAATGAAGTTTATTTTGACGAGGTGAAAGGATGTAACTGTCAGGAAATTGGTACCACTTACTTCTTCATATCATTGGACATAGTTAGCATAATGTAGTTTAGAACATTGCATCATGTCGTTTGATTTTAATTGTAAATAATGGCGAAACCTCTTATAGAGCAGAAAATTAATTCTTGCATGCAAATTTTCCTGTGACATAATTCTTTTTATAGCACACGAGCAGTATGCGTCCATGTCTATAAATTTAATAAAATTTTCATACAAGCAGGAGAATATCCAAGCAGGAGAATATAGATCTATCTATTTTACTTAAAATTAAAATTAAAATCTGATTCTTCTTACCGAACGTTAAAATTTATTTATTCATGTCATTTATTCCAAGGAAACGATAATATGTGGATTTTACTGTTATAAATAGCATTAAAACGGGATGCGGTTTAATAAACAATCCTAACTTTCTGTTCCAAAAGATGGAATTTTAAGCTCCAAGCATCAAGTCAATAATTGCGTTAGTGACTTAACGCTTTGGAAATTGGAAACGCAAACTTGTTTTTCTGTAATTAAGGAACAGATATATAATAAAAATTCTCTAAATTGCAAAGTAAATAAATATTTTTGTTGAAAAACTTACAATCATACTTCGCCCAAGGTTTTATGTATCATTATTAAATGACAGCTTTGAAATATAAAAAAATTCCTAGGTAAATATTGAAATTTTCAAAAATTTTCACTTAAGATGAATCAATATCGTTTCTATTTCATACTATCAATAACACTAGGTTTTATTCATTTTACAG